TCCACCATACCCGGCCTGTACACATCCACTATACCCGGCCTGTACACGTCCACCATACCCGGCCTGTACACATCCACCATACCCGGCCTGTACACGGCGGTCTCGGGAAGCAGGACTACGTGTACTTTTCTGTCTCTTGCAGTACATATTCCAGGAATTCCGGAAACCTTTCTTTAGCACCTTCGCCAAGACGTCCATGTTTGTTTTGTATCTTCTGGGATTCCTCGTGTGGCGGCCGTGGAGACAGCAATGTACCAAGAGGCTGCGTGGCAAACGCACGACATTGGTGAGTCATCGTCATGTGATCAGAGTCCCGGATCCTCTACATACAGGATTTCCTGTTGTGGGACTTTCCCAGTGCGCTGCGATCCAATCAGATGGGGGGAGGCGTGGCTGTGGAACCACTGCTGGCCAATCCACACCATGCATCAGAAACTGTTCTGTCCATTCTCCATTGTTCATCACTAATCAGTTCTGGGGAGAAGCCGCATCCATCAAACCGCACAGAGGGGGTGTCACATCCTGTGAGCCCCTTGATGACGTTCTATGTAATAATCAGGTGATGATGTCATATCCTGTGAGCCCCTTGATGACGTTCTATGTAATAATCAGGTGATGATGTCATATCCTGTGAGCCCCTTGATGACGTTCTATGTAATAATCAGGTGATGATGTCATATCCTGTGAGCCCATTGATGACGTTCTATGTAACAATCAGGTGATGATGTCATATCCTGTGATTTCTGTCCTCAGCTTGCAGATGCTGAAAGCTATTTTGCTGCGTGTGCGTCGGACGTCACCACGGGCCATTCCCTGGTAAGAATGATGTCATGTGTGTACGTGTCATCCGGGAACGTTCTGCTCCTCAAATGTCCTATTTTTTTCCCCTCATTACTGCTATCCCATTCTACCCCTCCCCCCTATGTATGATGACGTGTCCCCATGCCTCCCCCTATATATGATGACGTGTCCCCATGCCTCCCCCTATGTATGATGACGTGTCCCCATGCCTCCCCCTATGTATGATGACGTGTCCCCATGCCTCCCCCTATATATGATGACGTGTCCCCATGCCTCCCCCTATATATGATGACGTGTCCCCATGCCTCCCCCTATATATGATGACGTGTCCCCATGCCTCCCCCTATGTATGATGACGTGTCCCCATGCCTCCCCCTATATATGATGACGTGTCCCCATGCCTCCCCCTATATATGATGACGTGTCCCCATGCCTCCCCCTATATATGATGACGTGTCCCCATGCCTCCCCCTATATATGATGACGTGTCCCCATGCCTCCCCCTATATATGATGACGTGTCCCCATGCCTCCCCCTATGTATGATGACGTGTCCCCATGCCTCCCCCTATATATGATGACGTGTCCCCATGCCTCCCCCTATATATGATGACGTGTCCCCATGCCTCCCCCTATATATGATGACGTGTCCCCATGCCTCCCCCTATATATGATGACGTGTCCCCATGCCTCCCCCTATATATGATGACGTGTCCCCATGCCTCCCCCTATGTATGATGACGTGTCCCCATGCCTCCCCCTATATATGATGACGTGTCCCCATGCCTCCCCCTATATATGATGACGTGTCCCCATGCCTCCCCCTATATATGATGACGTGTCCCCATGCCTCCCCCTATATATGATGACGTGTCCCCATGCCTCCCCCTATATATGATGACGTGTCCCCATGCCTCCCCCTATGTATGATGACGTGTCCCCATGCCTCCCCCTATATATGATGACGTGTCCCCATGCCTCCCCCTATATATGATGACGTGTCCCCATGCCTCCCCCTATATATGATGACGTGTCCCCATGCCTCCCCCTATATATGATGACGTGTCCCCATGCCTCCCCCTATATATGATGACGTGTCCCCATGCCTCCCCCTATGTATGATGACGTGTCCCCATGCCTCCCCCTATATATGATGACGTGTCCCCATGCCTCCCCCTATATATGATGACGTGTCCCCATGCCTCCCCCTATATATGATGACGTGTCCCCATGCCTCCCCCTATATATGATGACGTGTCCCCATGCCTCCCCCTATATATGATGACGTGTCCCCATGCCTCCCCCTATGTATGATGACGTGTCCCCATGCCTCCCCCTATATATGATGACGTGTCCCCATGCCTCCCCCTATATATGATGACGTGTCCCCATGCCTCCCCCTATATATGATGACGTGTCCCCATGCCTCCCCCTATATATGATGACGTGTCCCCATGCCTCCCCCTATATATGATGACGTGTCCCCATGCCTCCCCCTATGTATGATGACGTGTCCCCATGCCTCCCCCTATATATGATGACGTGTCCCCATGCCTCCCCCTATATATGATGACGTGTCCCCATGCCTCCCCCTATATATGATGACGTGTCCCCATGCCTCCCCCTATATATGATGACGTGTCCCCATGCCTCCCCCTATATATGATGACGTGTCCCCATGCCTCCCCCTATGTATGATGACGTGTCCCCATGCCTCCCCCTATATATGATGACGTGTCCCCATGCCTCCCCCTATATATGATGACGTGTCCCCATGCCTCCCCCTATATATGATGACGTGTCCCCATGCCTCCCCCTATATATGATGACGTGTCCCCATGCCTCCCCCTATATATGATGACGTGTCCCCATGCCTCCCCCTATGTATGATGACGTGTCCCCATGCCTCCCCCTATATATGATGACGTGTCCCCATGCCTCCCCCTATATATGATGACGTGTCCCCATGCCTCCCCCTATATATGATGACGTGTCCCCATGCCTCCCCCTATATATGATGACGTGTCCCCATGCCTCCCCCTATATATGATGACGTGTCCCCATGCCTCCCCCTATGTATGATGACGTGTCCCCATGCCTCCCCCTATATATGATGACGTGTCCCCATGCCTCCCCCTATATATGATGACGTGTCCCCATGCCTCCCCCTATATATGATGACGTGTCCCCATGCCTCCCCCTATATATGATGACGTGTCCCCATGCCTCCCCCTATATATGATGACGTGTCCCCATGCCTCCCCCTATGTATGATGACGTGTCCCCATGCCTCCCCCTATATATGATGACGTGTCCCCATGCCTCCCCCTATATATGATGACGTGTCCCCATGCCTCCCCCTATATATGATGACGTGTCCCCATGCCTCCCCCTATATATGATGACGTGTCCCCATGCCTCCCCCTATATATGATGACGTGTCCCCATGCCTCCCCCTATGTATGATGACGTGTCCCCATGCCTCCCCCTATATATGATGACGTGTCCCCATGCCTCCCCCTATATATGATGACGTGTCCCCATGCCTCCCCCTATATATGATGACGTGTCCCCATGCCTCCCCCTATATATGATGACGTGTCCCCATGCCTCCCCCTATATATGATGACGTGTCCCCATGCCTCCCCCTATGTATGATGACGTGTCCCCATGCCTCCCCCTATATATGATGACGTGTCCCCATGCCTCCCCCTATGTATGATGACGTGTCCCCATGCCTCCCCCTATATATGATGACGTGTCCCCATGCCTCCCCCTATATATGATGACGTGTCCCCATGCCTCCCCCTATATATGATGACGTGTCCCCATGCCTCCCCCTATATATGATGACGTGTCCCCATGCCTCCCCCTATATATGATGACGTGTCCCCATGCCTCCCCCTATGTATGATGACGTGTCCCCATGCCTCCCCCTATATATGATGACGTGTCCCCATGCCTCCCCCTATGTATGATGACGTGTCCCCATGCCTCCCCCTATATATGATGACGTGTCCCCATGCCTCCCCCTATATATGATGACGTGTCCCCATGCCTCCCCCTATATATGATGACGTGTCCCCATGCCTCCCCCTATATATGATGACGTGTCCCCATGCCTCCCCCTATATATGATGACGTGTCCCCATGCCTCCCCCTATGTATGATGACGTGTCCCCATGCCTCCCCCTATATATGATGACGTGTCCCCATGCCTCCCCCTATGTATGATGACGTGTCCCCATGCCTCCCCCTATGTATGATGACGTGTCCCCATGCCTCCCCCTATATATGATGACGTGTCCCCATGCCTCCCCCTATATATGATGACGTGTCCCCATGCCTCCCCCTATGTATGATGACGTGTCCCCATGCCTCCCCCTATGTATGATGACGTGTCCCCATGCCTCCCCCTATGTATGATGACGTGTCCCCATGCCTCCCCCTATATATGATGACGTGTCCCCATGCCTCCCCCTATATATGATGACGTGTCCCCATGCCTCCCCCTATGTATGATGACGTGTCCCCATGCCTCCCCCTATGTATGATGACTTGTCCGGTGATCGGGAAACACTCACACTCAGTATATATAGAGGTCACACCCCTATAGACCGGCTGTATACAGAGTATATATAGAGGTCACACCCCTATAGATTGGCTGTATACACAGTATATATAGAGGTCACACCCCTATAGATCGGCTGTATACACAGTATATATAGAGGTCACACCCCTATAGACCGGCTGTATACAGAGTATATATAGAGGTCACACCCCTATAGACTGGCTTTATACAGAGTATATAAAGAGGTTACGCCCCTATAGACCGGCTGTATACAGAGTATATATAGAGGTGACACCCCTATAGATTGGCTGTATACACAGTATATATAGAGGTCACACCCCTATAGATCGGCTGTATACACAGTATATATAGAGGTCACACCCCTATAGATTGGCTGTATACAGAGTATATATAGAGGTCACACCCCTATAGATCGGCTGTATCACAATCGTTTGTGTCTTTCCTCCAGAGTGAGCCGCTTTATGTTCCCGTCAAGTTTCACGACCCGCAAAATGAGAAGGCGCCCGCGGCAAAAGGTGCAAGCGAGGAGAAAGGTGAGCTGTCCGTGTCTGGCGTGTGCCGTGTGTGTGTGCCATGACCAGTGAGGGTTCCTCCATCAGGGACCAGTGAGGGGTCCTCCATCAGGGACCAGTGAGGGGTCCTCCATCAGGGACCGGAGATAAGTCTGCGTTGTAGTGACGGGGATCACCCCGAAAAACTTTAATTATTCTGCTCAGCAATACCCCAATGAAGAACGTTTCTTTTACAGAATGGCCTATTGTAGACCCGCCTATTTCTTGTTTAAACTAGATATTACTGGTCCCAAAGATCAGCCCCTAAACATAGAGCTTATCCCGAGGAGGAGCCTAAACATAGAGCTTATCCCGAGGAGGAGCCTAAATGTAAAGCTTATACCGAGGAGGAGCCTAAATGTAAAGCTTATCCTGAGGAGGAGCCTAAACATAGAGCTTATCACAAGGAGGAGCCTAAATGTAAAGTTTATACCGAGGAGGAGCCTAAATGTAAAGCTTATCCCGAGGAGGGGCCTAAACATAGAGCTTATCCCAAGGAGGAGCCTAAACATAGAACTTATCCCGAGGAGGAGCCTAAACATAGAGCTTATACCAAGGAGGAGCCTAAATGTAAAGCTTATCCCAAGGAGGAGCCTAAATGTAAAGCTTATCCAGAGGAGGAGCCAAAATGTAAAGCTTATCCCGAGGAGGAGCCTAAATGTAAAGCGTATCCCAAGGAGGAGCCCCTAAACATAGAGCTTATCCCGAGGAGGAGCCTAAATGTAAAGCTTATGCCAAGGATGAGCCTAAACATAGAGCTTATCCCAAGGAGGAGCCTAAACATAGAGCTTATCCCGAGGAGGAGCCTAAACATAGAGCTTATCCCAAGGAGGAGCCTAAATGTAAAGCTTATCCCAAGGAGGAGCCTAAATGTAAAGCTTATCCAGAGGAGGAGTCCAAATGTAAAGCTTATCCCGAGGAGGAGCCTAAACATAGAGCTTATCCCGAGGAGTAGCCTAAATGTAAAGCTTATCCAGAGGAAGAGCCCAAATGTAAAGCTTATCCTGAGGAGGAGCCTAAATGTAAAGCTTATCCCGAGGAGGAGCCTAAATGTAAAGCTTATCCCGAGGAGGAGCCTAAATGTAAAGCTTATCCCAAGGAGGAGCCTAAATGTAAAGCTTATCCCGAGGAGGAGCCCAAATGTAAAGCTTATCCCGAGGAGGAGCCCAAATGTGGGAGGGGTTATACAGGGGCTGTCCTACAGCTGGGAGTGGGAGGGGTTATACACGACTGTCCTACAGCTGGGAGTGGGAGGGGTTATACAGGGGCTGTCCTACAGCTTGGAGTGGGAGGGATTATACACGACTGTCCTACAGCTGGGAGTGGGAGGGGTTATACAGGGGCTGTCCTCCAGCTGGGAGTGGTAGGGGTTATACAGGGGCTGTCCTACAGCTGGGAGTGGGAGGGGTTATGCAGGGGCTGTCCTCCAGCTGGGAGTGGGAGGGATTATACAGTACTGTCCTACAGCTGGGAGTGGGAGGGGTTATACAGGGGCTGTCCTCCAGCAGGGAGTGGGAGGGGCTATACAGGGCTGTCCTTACAGCTTTGATTTGCTGGTGTCTGTCACCTGAGGGTAGCTGCATAACCTCTCCATTCAGGAATGAAGTCCTGGTGTCCTGCGATATACTTTTACAGCGGCAATCTTTATACATGTTGGAAAGTTATACAATGGGAAGGTGTAGCGGAGGTCATGTCGGAGGTCATATCGGGGGTCATGCCGGAGGTCATATCGGGGGTCATATCGGAGGTCATATCGGGGGTCATATCGGAGGTCATATCGGGGGTCATATCGCAGGTCATATCGGGGGTCATATCGGAGGTCATATCGGAGGTCATATCGGAGGTCATATCGGAGGTCATATCGGAGGTCATGTCGGAGGTCATATAGCAGGTCATATCGGAGGTCATATAGCAGGTCATGTCGGAGGTCATATAGCAGGTCATGTCGCAGGTCATGTCGGAGGTCATATCGCAGGTCATGTCGGAGTTAGAGCTTATCCCAAGGAGGAGCCTAAATGTAAAGCTTATCCCGAGGAGGAGCCTAAATGTAAAGCTTATCCCGAGGAGGAGCCTAAATGTAAAGCTTATCCCGAGGAGGAGCCTAAACATAGAGCTTATCCCAAGGAGGAGCCTAAACATAAAGCTTCTCCCAAGGAGGAGCCTAAATGTAAAGCTTATCCCGAGGAGGAGCCTAAACATAGAGCTTATCCCAAGGAGGAGCCTAAACATAGAACTTATCCCGAGGAGGAGCCTAAACATAGAGCTTATACCAAGGAGGAGCCTAAATGTAAAGCTTATCCCAAGGAGGAGCCTAAATGTAAAGCTTATCCAGAGGAGGAGCCAAAATGTAAAGCTTATCCCGAGGAGGAGCCTAAATGTAAAGCGTATCCCAAGGAGGAGCCCCTAAACATAGAGCTTATCCCGAGGAGGAGCCTAAATGTAAAGCTTATGCCAAGGATGAGCCTAAACATAGAGCTTATCCCAAGGAGGAGCCTAAACATAGAGCTTATCCCGAGGAGGAGCCTAAACATAGAGCTTATCCCAAGGAGGAGCCTAAATGTAAAGCTTATCCCAAGGAGGAGCCTAAATGTAAAGCTTATCCAGAGGAGGAGTCCAAATGTAAAGCTTATCCCGAGGAGGAGCCTAAACATAGAGCTTATCCCGAGGAGTAGCCTAAATGTAAAGCTTATCCAGAGGAAGAGCCCAAATGTAAAGCTTATCCTGAGGAGGAGCCTAAATGTAAAGCTTATCCCAAGGAGGAGCCTAAATGTAAAGCTTATCCCGAGGAGGAGCCTAAATGTAAAGCTTATCCCAAGGAGGAGCCTAAATGTAAAGCTTATCCCGAGGAGGAGCCCAAATGTAAAGCTTATCCCGAGGAGGAGCCTAAATGTAAAGCTTATCCCGAGGAGGAGCCTAAATGTAAAGCTTATCCCGAGGAGGAGCCTAAATGTAAAGCTTATCCCGAGGAGGAGCCCAAATGTGGGAGGGGTTATACAGGGGCTGTCCTACAGCTGGGAGTGGGAGGGGTTATACACGACTGTCCTACAGCTGGGAGTGGGAGGGGTTATACAGGGGCTGTCCTACAGCTTGGAGTGGGAGGGATTATACACGACTGTCCTACAGCTGGGAGTGGGAGGGGTTATACAGGGGCTGTCCTCCAGCTGGGAGTGGTAGGGGTTATACAGGGGCTGTCCTACAGCTGGGAGTGGGAGGGGTTATGCAGGGGCTGTCCTCCAGCTGGGAGTGGGAGGGATTATACAGTACTGTCCTACAGCTGGGAGTGGGAGGGGTTATACAGGGGCTGTCCTCCAGCAGGGAGTGGGAGGGGCTATACAGGGCTGTCCTTACAGCTTTGATTTGCTGGTGTCTGTCACCTGAGGGTAGCTGCATAACCTCTCCATTCAGGAATGAAGTCCTGGTGTCCTGCGATATACTTTTACAGCGGCAATCTTTATACATGTTGGAAAGTTATACAATGGGAAGGTGTAGCGGAGGTCATGTCGGAGGTCATATCGGGGGTCATGCCGGAGGTCATATCGGGGGTCATATCGGAGGTCATATCGGGGGTCATATCGGAGGTCAGATCGGGGGTCATATCGCAGGTCATATCGGGGGGCATATCGGAGGTCATATCGGAGGTCATATCGGAGGTCATATCGGAGGTCATATCGGAGGTCATGTCGGAGGTCATATAGCAGGTCATATCGGAGGTCATATAGCAGGTCATGTCGGAGGTCATATAGCAGGTCATGTCGCAGGTCATGTCGGAGGTCATATCGCAGGTCATGTCGGAGGTCATATCGCAGGTCATGTCGGAGGTCATATCGCAGGTCATATCGGAGGTCATGTCGGAGGTCTTATCGGGGGTCATGTCGCGGGTCATATCGCAGGTCATGTCGGAGGTCATATCGGAGGTCATATCGGAGGGCAT